GATGTCTTCTTCCCTTGGTAATGAACACCGGCAATTTTCTTTGGTTGGTCTTTGATACCCAGTCCTTGTTTTCCAGCCGTGGCTTTATCCTGCAGACATTTCACACGGTGTATATCAGATCCAACCCTCTTTTACAAGAGTAGCTTACAAAAAAAGGTAGGACGAGACAAACATACATACCTGCACCAAATTGTAAAGATTCTCTTGATCGTCCTCAGAAAACATTTTTCTCTTGCTGCTCTTAGATGATTTCTTTTTGCCAGACTTAGCTCCAAGAAGACCACCCGAGACAAACCCGGATTTAAATCCCCACCAGTCTGAAGAAGGCTCTTCGATTTTCTGTTCTGTTTCATTCCAAAAGATCACGTTTTCAGCTCGAAGAACAGAAACAACCAAAAGTCACATCATTTCAAGATTCGAGGACATCTAATCACCTTTAACACTATCAACATGGTCCTCAGATATGATTTCAATCTCCATAGTATCGGCTATGTCACAAACCGCAGGAGAAGGCTCCTCAGTTCGCTTAACCTACGAAACAGTAAAATAATTTAGACTAAATTAGACTATCACTTTCGTAATGCGGTTTGTTTACACTATGGTGACAAATCCTGAAAATGTGCACAACTTAACAGTATGTAGAAGCTATGAGTAATGCTAATAGACATGAATCTAGGTCATGAGCTGTAAAACAAGGATGAAGCTGATTGAAAGCAAGCTTACCAATATTCCTTCAAGATCTTTAGACGAGTATGAATTAACACGCTTCCCTTTCTCTCTACGTTGATACCTAAAACCCATGAAAAAACTCCAACTTCAACCACCATGCAGTACATATTTGCCAGAGAGAGCTAATAAGAAAATAAAAAATCTAACAACCTTCCTTGTGGACGTGTAACTTTCGCAACAGTCTTAGTCTTGGCAGGCTCAGATTTGACAGTATCAACGTCACTTTCTGCTTCCTTGTCTGAATCTATCATATGCCACAGAAACAAGAATCATCATTAGGATAACTAAACTTCCATAATCAATCAAGAAAGAATTAAAGTTAATAAGTAGATTTACCATCATCATTCTCGCTAGCTTTGATAGGTGCTGCTTGCTGCAAATCAT